TTATGAGAGACGTCGTAGTAGAGGGCTCCGGAAATTTTGACCACCTGGGGTTCTTTAACGTGCACCCAAATCTGAGCACACGGGCCTACAAGATTTCCACCTCCATCGAAAATGCAGCCGCCGAAGCCGAGATTAGTTCCCGCGAGCTGCGGGTCGGCAGCTGAGTACCTTAGCCACTAGACCGCCGCGGCGGGGCACCTTGCTATCTTACGATGGGAAAGAGGTACAAGGGATGAAAAGGTAAAGAGGGATGTACTACCAGTGAAAAATACGCACGCAATTGCGCGTTGCGCCTACAACAATCGAAGAAGCCTTGAGCATCACGAGCCGGAGCTAAACATGATTCCCCTTGTAACACCATGTAAAATGGTAAGATGGACGCGTTTCTGGTTGCTATCCATGCGCTTTAGGAAAAGAAAAGGGGAGGGGAGTATGTGTTATTTCGTTGCGATAATCGGGTGTCAATGACTACAAACAATTAGGGCTTAAATATTACATAGAACACATACGAGGGCTTTACTCGCGTATAGTCAGTCCTTGGTTAAGAACCGAAAGCTATACGTGAATTCGGGTCGTTTCACGATTTTATCAGCTGACATGTGAAGCGACTACAGAAAAGGGTTACACATATTCTTAATAAGCACACACGCAATAATAAAGTATTGGAGAAGATAAGAAAAACTCACATTGGTGATAACCGATGTGAGTTTGCATTGCCTCTTGTACTTACTTACAAACTTGTTTCGTTGTTTTTACCCCCCCCCCCCCTCTGTAATGTCTGTTGACCCTGATGGTAAATAAATAAATAAATAAACCGCCAGAGGTCCTGGCTAACGAATAAGAATTTTTGCGGCTAAAGCGACGCAGCCACCTCGTGCGAATTCACTAGTTAACCTCGAGGGCCATCTTCTCTCTGCTTGTTGCCCAGCGGCGCCGAGAGTTCTCGAGCATCCGAAGCAGCCAATCACAGGGAGCGGGCACTCGGTGTTCGCGCGGCACGAGGAACGCGACGGAGAGAAGGGAGAAGGAGGCGGAGAAGTTGAGAGGGCGGCTTGCCCACCAACAGCATACGTAAACACGGGCCAGCCGGCAGACAGCGGGCCGCGTAGAAACGAACCACAAAATGGGAAGGCGCAAAAGAGGAGACCCTTGCTTATAATGTGTCACACATAACACTTCCCTATATCAACGTTTTGGGACCGCGCACACAGGCTCTTACGCTAGAATTCTGTCGTAAAAATGGCCCCAGCTTTGATTGTATCACACATAGCAATCTGTGAACATTGTTGTATTAATTGAGCGCACAAGCTTTTACGCTATATATTTCTATTGTAAGGGAAGGCCCTTGCTTTTAGTGTATCACACATGCCATTCTTCCAATGACATTTTAAGACCCCACGCACAAGCTCTTACGCTGGAATTTTCTCACAAGAGAAAAGTTCGGTCAACACTGCCATCCTTTTTGGCGTGTGATCAGCTAGCTAATTGTGCGATGCGGCCAGTGGAAAAGATGGAAGGAGTGAAAAAAATAGTGATCCACTCATTTGCAGGAGCAAGCTAAATCCGGGTGAATTTCTCAGAAAAGAAACATTCTATGGCTAAATAAACATTCATCTAAGTGTGGAGTTATAACGGACCGGAGGAAGGGATGCGCATGCGCAATGGTGGTGTAAACGCCGCGGGCAGGAATGCCTAGACGAGATCTAGGAGGGAGAGAGCGTAGGTTAGCAAACACTCCCTGCGTCGGTGTTGCGAGGGGAGAGAAGGGAGAACGCAGAAGAGGAAAGGGGGAGGGGACGCGCATGCGCAATGGGGTGTTAACGCTTCTGGGAGGAATGTCTAGATGAGAGAGAGAGGGGGGATCAAGCGCAGCCAGGTGATAAGAAAGAACTGGAGAGTAACGCGCAGTTCTTGTAGAGAGGGAAGGAGGATAGTAGCGCATGCGTAGTGTGATTGCGGACACCGCCGACGCCGCGGTACATAGGACTGAGCATGAGCCCGAGCAAGAGATGCTTCGCACATAAATAAGAAATATGTGCACGTATGCTTTGTGAACATGCTGCCGCAAGAATTTTGCGAATACGTGTTATATTTTAGGGAAATTACTGGGATTATAAAATCGGCTTCAGCTGCTATCAAATTGTCACGCGGCCTCGCCCCCCTTTTCTCTCACAGGGAGGGGAAGGTGCAGTCCGTCATCGCTACTGGTTTAGACCAATCGACTACGTCGAGTCACCGCCGATCGGCGACTTATGTCACTACGTGTGAAAGGAGGTTTGATCGGGCCTAGGAAAGGAACGCGGGAATCGTTTTTCAAAATGGAAGCTCTGCGCGGCGCGTAGCTATAATATTCGGAAAACATGATCGCCACAGTCTGCTCTACGAATCGCCGAGATTCAGAGATTCTTTGGGGGATGTAAAAAAAAAAAGTCGGAGCCTGTTTACTGGGTCTCCCAAGATTTAAACACAAAGGTCGACAGCCCAATGTGGCAGCACGGGAAGCCATTCGTAAAATAGGAACTAGTTCCTTTTTGGAGGAACTTTGCGTGGCCAGAATTATCATACACTCCTGCATATGATGTAATTTTTGTTAACAGGGCCTCCCACGGAATGGATTCAATTTCATGCTCTCTCATAGTAGAGTACCTAGTACCCTAAATCGTTACCGATTTCTATCTAAACACACTTAGCCGACGATAGTCGGCAAAGCCAGGAAAAACACGTAAACACAAATATATTTGAAGTTAGGGATTTGGAATCGACATTACAAATATCTTTAATCAATGTAATGTGCACCGGATGTCTGCTAATACACGATGGCTGTGTCACGGCTGCTGGTTAGTAGTTGTATGTTGGTGGCACTCTACTAAAATTTATTTTAATTAAACTACCTCAACTTTTCGAAGGAGACGACAGTGGACTTTTTAGTGTTGGCGACAGCCCCTCGGCAACACCACACAGGTCTGAGGTGCTGGCGTGGACGCAGCAGCGGCCTAGGTCCAGGTGCGAACCAAGTTTGTTTGGGCGAGCGCACGCATATCGAAACTGTCCTCTGTTTATATAAACAGCACTTGCGTTCCTAAAAAGAAAATGAGTCGAGATTTGCATGCACTTCTGTTATTTTTTACACCTTCGGAGGTTTTGCGTTAAGTGAGCCACAGGGCTTTCGAAAACAAACTAACACGACCATGCTGCACAGTTCAGAGAATAAACAGCAAACAGCTGCATAAATCTAAAAAAGTGGCAGCACTGACGCACCAAGCACCAGATGGTAAATAATAGTGGGCAATGTTCAACAATACGGCACAGTGAGGAGGTATAGTGCTCTTCTTGGGCTGTGCCTGAAAAACCCGACCAACAAGATCCAACTTCAAATGCATGCGGAATGATGATTAAACATCATGGGCCATAGGTGTGTATAAAACTCCGGCATGTATGGAAACGAGATGACAAACGCACGAGCACACCCACTACACTTAAAGGGACACTAAATGCAACTATTAAGTCGATGATTGTTGAAACAGCAGTCCAGAAACCTCGTATTACTTTTGTGTCATGGAAGGGCTTATTTTGAAGTAAAATAACGTATTAGTGGTCCGCATCGCGTTAGAACACTTCAAATTACCACCTGAAAGGGAAAATTCACTGTTGCAGTGTACAACGTTCTAGCGATTCTTTTTTCGATGAATCAAACAGAAATGAACAAGCAGCATTTTATTACGTCTCTTGATGCAAGAAAGGTTCTTCATTTAGTGCAGCTAGTTCGATTACCAGTGATTAATTGTAGGCAGTAACTCTGATGTCCTCGGGATCATTTTGCAAATGTGCTACTGCGGCGCATGTGTTCTCGTGCAATCCCCTTAGTTTTTCAATAAGTAGAGCCCTGCTGTTGATAATATTGCTGTTTTAGACATTGTCACTCCCATGTAAACACGTCAATTGTTATTTGACATAAGTGTCCCTTTAAGTAGCGCCCTTTGGACAACAAGGACAAGAACAACACGACGCTCGCAACTTCTTGTCTTTATTTTTCTCTTTTAAAGTGCGCTACTTCATCTCAAGAATAGAAGGCGAAAGTGGAAATCTGGTCCTGTTCACCACGTTTTCTCAATCAGTAGCCTTGCATTGCTTTCCAACGGTATATTTTGGGCCAACTGGCTACTTTTTAACACTGCCTGGCAACGAAAATTTCCGATAGGCTACGAGGTTGCCTTTTGGCAACTTTCGAGCTTTCGTTTAGGGGCGTTAGGCAGGCATATTTCTTGTTTGCAAATAAAACGCACCATTTGCGAGTTTTTCCACCCTGTCACCCGATACTCGTTCGCATATTACCAGGATGGCACAGTAAATCCAATTTGGCGCACTTTGTAGTAGCATTCGATGCAGGAGTGGAATCAAATCACTCTGAAAAGTGTTTCAGGACCCTTTCGAACGGGGTCTCTAATCACTGATAAGCTGCTGTGCAACGTCAGCATAGATGGGAGTAGCCAGAATTTGCCGAAGTGCACGTGACTTAGTCACTGCTGTCTATGCAGGCTCATCAAGCGTTGCATTGAGGTGCCTTAATGAGCACCGACCAATTTTATGTATCGCTACTTTGTTAATAATAAACTTCAAACCTGCTGGCAGAGTGAGAAAATTATTGCCCAATGCAACAGCAACGCTTGAAATCAGAATTCATGATAATAAGGATTGCAGCGCGAGCACGAATGTGCTAGAAAAAACAGACGAAAGTCGAGGTATGGAAGGCAAAGAGGACAACACGAGCTTGCAACACAATCAGAAACTTGCTTATCTCATTTGCAGATATACAATAAGGAAGAAGATGAATACATAAGATGTCCTTCGTCTTCGTGTCGTTTTAGAAAAAATGCATCAGCGTGCGTGTGAATATTTTTGACAATATTACCTACTCCCCCCACCACCTGCCACCCCGAAAAAAATCCTCAATGCAGGAAAGGCTCTTAGCCATGTAAGCAGAAATCGAACAGAAGACAAAGTATTATGGATCATACTTTTATATAGAGAAAGCGTTTGGTAACAATGAGGCATTTCATTTTTCCTGATGGTGTACTATATACATAATAGTGTTTCTTTGACAAGAGTTTGAACAGTGGTGCTTTGTGGCAATGCTAAAACTTGAGGCTGAAGCCAGTTCCCTTGGCTGAGCTTCCTTTGCTGGGAATGTTCATGTGGAAGCCTGCGGCTGCCAGGAGTCCTTCATCATCTCCTTCGCCCCTGAAAAAACGCACCAAGAAGGAACAAAATCACCCAGTGCACTTTCACACGCTGTAACAAGGCTGTGTCTGGAAAGCATACTAGTATGTATGCCAAACTACACAAGAGTGCGTGCGATTTTCAAAACATCTGCAAAAGAAATTCACTATGGCGTAAAAGTATGCCATTACGAATAAGTACCAACTTGCTCGCCTCTCTGTTTTGCAAAAGAAACAACATATAGATGAAACTGTCCTCTACCCCGTATGTCTGTAAGAGATAATAGACAGTTATAGTTTACGGTTAATGTGATAGCGGAAGTTAAGAGAATGGCGTTACCGTGCAGCATAAATTAGTTGTGGACAGCGTCTTATAGTTTAGTGGAATAGCGTTTACGTGGTTTACGTGCCCCAGCTAAGACGGTGGTGCCACCTACCGAATGGTTATTAAGTTAAAGACAGTGAAAAGAAAAGGAAAACGAGAATGTTTGCCTATGCGGCTGCGCGAAGCATTGTTATGAGTTTATTTAACTAATAATAAAATATGAACCACGCACCAAACGCAAAAAAAAATTGCCAATTTGTTTACATCGATCTCGTAGTTAGGCCTAGACGCGTTTGAAATGGGAAGCTATCTCAAAAATTACGACAACTTATTCGTAATACTCAGTCATCGAAGCTAACTGAAGGCAAGCGAAGCCACTTTAAACAGTCGTTTGCTGCGAACAAGATGAATATTTCAACAACTATGCCAAAATCCCTTCGAAGCAGGTGTCCGAGAGCGCCGTCATGTTTACGTACACTACATACACTTACGCTACCACAGTAACCTTAAATCTGAAAAATACCACGCGTACGGTAAGTGGTACAGGTAATGTACGTATCTGCGCATGCGCACTTCCATTCGGGTATCACGGTACGCCCGGTATCCCGGTAAGCCCGCTTTACTATAACTGTCTAATGCTCGTGTAAGCTACATGTCTATGTCACTATTTGATAGCGCAATTTTTTTTAGTGCCTTATTGTAACCTATTTGATTGTAACCATGTGACCACTTTTATTTACACAGGTTTATTTTATGAGTATATATTGAAGAAAGAGACAGAAATAGATAGAAAAGGCAGGGAGGTCAAAGAAGCTTGGCTCTATTTCTATTATAAAAGGGACGAATAAATAGCTGGAGATTACACAGCATCTCACCCTGTTTTTTCACAAGCGTTCGTGAAGTCCAGTAGTCGTTAAGAAGCACAAGACGACAAAAAATGAAAGTTAGGTGAAAGTTTGCGCCCATCCCCGCTTATTCTTGCGTCCCACATGTCTTTTTTTGCATGCACCAGCTTTACTTTGAAGTGCTACTTTCCCTGTGCTATATATACTGCATTTGCTTGCATGATAGGTGCACTTCTTTTTTTTAAAGAAAGTCGACTCCAATTACGGGGCAAAATTTCTGCGGGGTAAAATTAGCCTTAGTAAAATTTCCGGAAACTTTATTTCTAACTGCAGCATATACCGTTTATAACCTATACATTGATAAAGTTGCGAATATTCGTGCTACAGCTGAAAAGACCTTCTTCATAGGCTATACGAGCGCAAAATGTGTTGAGCATGCAGTCTCGCTAGTCCGAGAATCAAAGCATATGATGCGATGTGCCTTCAAATTTCAAAAAGTTCACATCAAAATACTTGCGTTGCCAATGAAATGAGCCTGGGAAAAAGAAAAGAAAGAAAGTGATGTTGCGAAAATTCGCCGATAATGTTTCAGGCAACCTAGACTATTTGCATTTACCACGACTGAAATTACAAGTGCCCCCTTTCCTTCAAGTAGAACCACCGAAAAGAGTTATGTTGATTCCGTACAGAAAACTGCTACTTGGATTGAGCGCGACCACCACCGATGAGCACCAAAAGTGATGAGGCCTAGCCTACGTTTAACCATGTTGTTGCGGGAAGTTGAACATATGAAGAGTGTAAGTTGAAAAGATTGCACTCAAGCAACTGATTCAAGAGCAGCGCGTGTGATACAATGTTTAGGTTTTTGGTCAGGAAATCAGCGACGACAAAAGTCTGCCGAGCTCGTGCAAGTCCATCATGTAGTGGCAGCAAAGGCAAAAGCTCACGTAGGAAAGCCGAAAAGCTTTTACATAGCGGGCGAGGTTGCAAACGCGATAACGACGATAAAAGGACATCTCAAAACATGGTGATTGCATTATGGGAGGCTCGCAGTATTATAACTGCTAATTAAAATGAGCCATGATGCACGAAGTGATTGTATTATGGGGGGCTAGCAGTATTAGAACTGCTAATTAAAATGAGCCATGATGCACAAACCAGCAGAGCAGCATCGTAAAGTGAAATGTGAAGGAGCGGCACCCAAAAAAGAAAGCACAGCTACAGATACATACACCTGTTTTGAACGCACTTTAACATTAGGACGTCATGTTGACTTATGTTTGTGGCAACCGGAAGCTCTAGTGCTCTTCTGTTTCTGTTGTAAAAAAAGAAAAGACGATATGTTTTTGTTTCTATGGTATATGTCAGCATCACTATAATAGGCCCCGTTCCAGGGAAGCTCACACAAGAGAAAAATTCACCACCCCGTCTACAAGGACTGCATGGCCACTAACTAAATAATGCTGTCACAAGACGTTGCGACCAGTGAGAACTCCCCACAAGACTGGGGAGTGTTTGGAAACTACAAAAACTCCCCAATTCCTGTGTATGGCAGGAATGACCAGCCTTTGCACATGCAACTACTACAAAGGCACCAAAAGTACTAAAAATACACTATACAATGCATGATTACTGAAAAACACAAGATACGCAAAGGCAACGATAGCAGCAAATGACTATCACCAGCGGAGACACCTCCAAAGTCAATAAGTCTACGTCAACATGGCATCTCTAGGCAGGAAACAGAGATCACAAAGGCCCGATTTTTGTTAGCTGCGAGTGCCAAACCTAATTTCCAAAGTACATCGTAGGCACCATTTTTGTATTTTAAAGAGTAAATACAGATTTCAGAGGCCATGCTTTTGCTTGCAAGAACCTAAAATGTCAAGGGCGTTGCATACCAAAACAAGCTCGGGGAGCGACCATTAAGCAATTAAGCACAAGCAATAAAAATGCGAAGAATGTGAAGAAACACAGCTACACAGCCTTGATTATGATGTCAGTAACTGACTAGATGGCATGTTTAGGTCTACTGATCGACCAGATCAGTCACACAGTGAGTTAACAAGGGGTGTGAGTTGCAAAGAGTTGCTTTCAAGCACTGTGTGACCAGTTAAAGCCAGGGTGCACTATGACCCAGAGACTGCACTGTATAATTGTGTCACTGCCTGTATATTTTAATTAATCACAGTGCTTTCAGAAACAGGTTTAATGACCAGCATTATAAGGTGCTCGAGAATGGTTCTACATTTAGGCACAGGCCTTAAGAAGTCCTTACACTCACGATAAGCCCAGCAACATCTCCACAGCCTGAGCCGTGACGCACCGCGCATCATGCTCATTGATTTTGTCTTCTTTTCCTTAACAATCTACGACCTGACATATCAAGAAATGTTTTCAGTTTAACGCATCTTATTAACTGCTGAAGCGTGCTCCAAAAGAGAATTTTTGTGAAATATGGGTAAGCTCCAATTATGAAGTGCACAAAGACAAGCTACATAGACTATGAAATTCAATCAAAGGCAACAGGTGCCCTGTCAGTGGTGTACAAAAAGCACCCGCAAATGAAATGCCAATAATAAATTACAATTTATAGCAAATGCAGCTTGTCTAGCATGCTTTATGTGTCAGTGATATTGTAACAGCTTGAGGATAAAGGCAATGCCTGCTCTAATGGGTGAAAAATAAAACAGAAAGAGAATACCAGAAGAAAAATGCTCAAAGTCTTGAGAGCCAGCTCCTATGTATGGCAACATTCTTGACAACCATGTGCCCAGTGACTGGGGGCATAGCAGAAATTTTTTTCAGGGGAAAAACATGCGTGGTTGGTTCATTGATCCTTTTGCATGCTTGTAGTATGTGCATTTATATGTGCACTTGTATATACTGTCACCGACCGATTTTTCGAACTTTAAAAATTAGGACTTATTGGATATTTTGGACTTCAAAAGTGCACCGTCATGGTTCCCATAGGATTAATGCATTTTTTTTTACCGATTTTTAGGACGAATTCGCCTCCGAAAGTTGGATTTTTCGGACTGAATTGCTTGTTTTGAACTGCGCCACGAACCTGTATGGACGTCACCATGTTGGATTTCCCGCTGGCTTGACTAAGCTTGATGGCTTAATTTTAAAATGGCTTTCCTACCCCCAATATTAGAAAGCAAACGTCATATTTCAAGTTTTGCAGGCCGTGTCTGCTTTAGAAAATGCGGCACGGGACCATTTTTTCGTCTTCGGTCGGCCATAGTGGTCAGCACTGTCGTCATCGCACCGCACAGGGAGGAGGCAAAGCTGCGCAGTGGTGAAGTTACAGTGGCTAGAACTATTCTAGCCACTGTAGTGAAGTGAATGTGCCTGCCACAATGACATTAGGGAGATTTAGAATAGTGCACCGCGAGCCCTTGCGGTGCGGTTGCTGCCACTGTGCATGCGTCATAACGCGAGCCGCCGTTCTCGCCAGCAGAAAATTCGAAATAGCGTGCAGCGATCGCGGCCCGCGAGGCCCGCGTGGTGTTGTCTGTAGCTTCCGTGCATTTGAGTTTGTGGTCGGGGCAAAAGCCCCTAACCTTTTCCCTAGGGGGAGCAAACGCTATTCTAAAGCTCATAATGCGTCCGCTATACCCGCAACGCCCGAAGCGCCTACAAACATTATGCTAAAACTTCTTATTTAAAAACTTCGCTCGTAGGGACGATGAAAATTTCGTGCGCGAAGCCCACAGACAACAAAATTCTTCACCAGGTTGTGCCACAGCCAGAGAGCGGTTCGGATGATAAGGTCGATGATCGCCCGCAGCTATCGGCAGTGAAGACCGCCACCGCGGTGACGCTTTTGTGAAGCATTTACGGTGACGACGTCACCTTGGCGCAAATACGGGCGAACCAAATTGCTTCCAAGCATAGTATGAGGCAAGGCAGAATCATGGACTTTTTAAAGCCTGCCTGATGCAATAAAGTGCATATTTCTGACAAAAACGAATTTTTCAAACTGTTTGATTTTTCGGACATTTTTTTCAGTCCCCGCCAGGTCCGAAAAATCGGTCGGTTACTTAGTTTACATACACATTGGAAAATTTCAAGTTGGACAGATACCCCCCCTCCCCCATCGTGCATGAGCTGTTGGATGGCCGCTAGCCAGTGCCGTTAGCTAACAGCTCATGCATTTGCAAGCTTTCGGCACAGTATGCAAGTTTCCTAAGTTTCAGAAATAACTACTCTCTAGGTTAGAGAATTGGGATATTCCAAGTAATCACCACTCAAAAAAAGACTACCAACTCACCAGTTGTTTGGCAAACTGTTTTCCACCAGATGGAGGCTTGGGACTCTGTGCTTTTCGGTGACCCAATTCACTCTTAGCTGGCCACGTGGGAAACATGGAGGGGTCCACGGGAACAGGCGTTTCGTTGAAAAATTCGTGTTTCAATGCATCTTCGGCAGTGATGCGACGCTGTGGGTAATATGTTAAAAACCTGCAAAGATGACAGGCATGCGCCACCTGTGACCGTTTCTTGCAAGCAATGTGTTAGCAACGTGACGAAACGGGAATGCAAACGAGAGGCACGGGAGCCGTAGCAGATGACTATCAATATGCATGGTACACAGAGAAGAGGCACTGTCAATGCTTGCGCTATGAGACACGCCATAAAAATAGATGAAAAATTCTTGACAAGGCGTCCTCGCTGGTGTCGATATGTTGGCGCGTGGTCTTCCCACACACTCAACTGTTGGCTCAACCAAAACACTGTGTTCAAAAATTTATCATCTTTGCAATCGTCCACCGTTCCCAGATCCGTGTCCTATACTCTGTGACAACATTTCTTGGCATTGAAGGGAAAGCTATGGAGCCAACTCGCATGCATCCTACCGCCACTGAATGTAGTTCCAAAGTAGGCCCTGTATTTTCAACGTGAAATATAAATGTTCCTCCTTTATTTTCTATGAGGAGCTATTTGAGACAGGACGCCATTAGAATATTCGCAATTTCATTAAATTTGAAAAAGGGTTTATTGGCGACTGTTGTGACGGTGGTCCTACGACGAAACACGATCGGACAAGAGCAACGGTCAAGCAGATGCCGGCGATGATCAGCACGAGCCGAGCGAGAGAAGCCCAGCACCCAGTACCCAAGCGACGGTGGCGATGTTGCTTGCCAACAATGCGTTTTCTTCTTCACAATTTGCCCCCGCCAAAAAAGAGCCATCCTGGCGACCTAAGAGTCTGGAGGCAGAGGGCTATGATATGGCTTAAGGCGGGCGACGTGGACGATGTCACGTCCACGCCGGCGCATGTCGTCAGATGGGGAAAGTGGCTCGATGAGAAAATTCACCGGCGAGGTTTTCTCCAAAACGCGGTATGGGCCCTCGTACTTTGGAACGAGTTTTGAGGAAAGGCCGGGGGTTTGGTAAGGAACAGCCAGCCATACAAGTGATCCCGGGGAATAGCTGGGGCTTTGTGAAGAGTCGGCGTTGTTTTCTTTCTGGCGCTGTTGTTCTTGTGACGTAAAGGTGCGTGCGAGTTCACGGCAATCTTCCGCATTTCGGGCAGCTTCGGACACAGATGGGCATTCGGATGCGTCAGGACGGTATGGAAGGAGAGTGTCGATGGTGTGAGATGGTTCGCGTCCATAAAGAAGAAAGAAAGGTGAAAATCCAGTGGTAGACTGTGTCGCGGTGTTATATGCGAACGTGATGAATGGAAGAATGCGATCCCAGTTAGTATGATCGGATGTCACATACATGGCGAGCATATCGCCAAGGGTGCGGTTAAATCTTTCCGTGAGCCCGTTAGTCTGCGGGTGGTATGCGGTGGTCTTGCGATCAACAACATGGCATTCAGAAAGCAGAGACGTATCGACTTCTGATAGGAAGGCTCTACCTCGGTCGCTTAGTAGTTCTCGAGGTGCACCATGTCGTAGTATGAAGCGATGAAGGATGAAGGATGCTACGTCCCGCGCAGTGGCACTTGGAAGGGCGGCGGGTCTCAGCGTAGCGTGTTAAATGGTCCACGGCGACTATTATCCACCGATTTTCATCTGATGTTGTCGGTAGAGGGCCATAGAGATCGATTCCGATCCGATCGAAAGGTTTGGCAGGGCACGGAAGCGGTTGAAGCGCACCGGACGAGTGGAAAGGCGGGTGATTTGCGGCGTTGACAGTCAGGGCAGCCCATAACGAATTTTCGAACGAAATTATACATTCCGCGCCAGTAGAAGCGATGGCGAATGCGTTCGTAAGTTTTGAAAACTCCGGCATGACCACATTGGGGATCATCGTGAAAGGAGGCGCAGATTTGTGATCGCAAGCTGTGTGGGACAACCAAGAGCCACTTACGACCTTCGGGGGCGTAGTTGCGTCGGTGTAGCAGCCGATCACGAATGGCGAAATGTGCAGCTTGACGTCGGAGAGATCGTGGTACTGCAGTGGTTGACGATCCAGAGAGACAGTTAAAAAGGGAAGCGATCCACGGGTCCTTGTGTTGTTCACTGGTAAAGGAGTCGAGGTCGAGAGAGGCGACGGAGTTGGTACCAGTGGTTCCGCAGGCCGAGTCGGGAGGTAAAGGCGAACGCGACAGGGCGTCGGCGTCAGAATGCTTGCGTCCGCTGCGATAGATGACACGAATGTCGTACTCCTGGATTTGCAGTGCCCACCGAGCTAGGCGGCCAGAAGGATCTTTCAATGTGGCGAGCCAACAAAGTGCATGGTGGTCCGTTGCCAAGTCGAATGGGCGACCGTACAAATAAGGGCGGAACTTGCGAAGCGCCCACACTAGCGCCAAGCACTCTTTTTCAGTGACGCTGTAATTGGCCTCAGCTTTAGTAAGTGTGCGACTCGCATAAGCGACGACGTATTCGGAGTAGCCCGGCTTGCGTTGGGCGAGGACGGCGCCTAGACCAACCCCACTAGCGTCTGTGTGAACTTCCGTTGCAGCTGTTGGGTCGAAATGCCGAAGAATTGGAGGAGATGTTAGCAGACTACGGAGCGTGGCAATGTTGCTTGCCAACAATGCGTTTTCTTCTTCACAAATTATTCATTGTTACTTTGCGTTTTTGAATGCGTGAGAAAGTCCAGCCTTTTCACATGCACCTCAAACACTAACCGGCGTCTGCGTCTACATGAAACGCTGATGGTACGCCCCCGTCACTTTTCACAGCGTTACGAGAGGCGCTTTAGAGCCGACTACTTCGCATAGTGCTACATGTGCAGAAGCTCTGCCTCTGTAGCTTTTCCTTCAGTGCCAAAAAAAGTTGCCGCCGAGTATAGTAGGGATCAAATTCGCAAAGTTCATGTTCTCTGTTGCTGACTGAGTGCCTTCACTAAGATAACTAGGTTGTTCTAAATACTAAAATGTATACAAATATAGCATTATAAAGTGAAGAGTGATTCTTAAAATAATTAGACTAGCATGTTGAATACTCACTTATCAAATTACTTTCCTTCAAATACTCAACATGTACTCTGTACGAAGTCTAGCTGCCACTGGCACCTTGATTTATTCTTACAGTTCTCAATCTCTGCAGGCACTGTAGCAACAGATGTGCTGATGCATCTGCTATTGTAGCTACTTTATTGAAAGAAGGTGCCGCAGCTAGACAGGCCATTAGCTAAAGCAATGCATTCATAGATTACCTCTTGAGCCAGGAAGCACGAGCTCTATGAGAGTAGTGGCTCAGTGGTATCATGTGATGATGATGATGATGATGATGGTAATGACGATATTACTGTATTTACTCGATTCTACCGCGCCCCCTCGAATGTAACGCGCACCCAATTTCCACTGCAAAAAAAAAAAAAAAAGACATCGATTGCAACGCGCACCCATTTTTCTCGCTGACCCGCACGATCACACCACTGGAAAAAACGACTCCTTTCGGGAGCGTCCTCCACTTAAATATGAGGTACGGGCGAAGCTTGTGCCCATCTGACGTGTAACAGAGCATCGCCGTCTCTGTAGTTTTACCGTGGACCGATGTCAGCACGCGAACATGCTTCACTCCTTTCTTCTCGACGGTTGTGGTGCTAGGCATGTCGAAGTACAGAGGTGTCTGATCGACATTCCCGATTTGCCCAAGCAGGTAGCCGTTGTTGCGCCGCAAGTTTAGGACGAACATCTGAAAACTGTGAAGCTTTTCATCGTACTCCTCCGCAAAACTTTTCGCATATGCATGTTTCCCTTCGGAGGGAAAAGCCTTTCTTCTTCATAAAGTTAGTTAGCAAGCACCTGCTCGCTTTACACTGGCTCCGCATTAGACTTTTTTCTAAGACTAATTGCATAGCCCGCACTTGGAGCAGTTCTGTCGTCACGGGCCGCTGTGCCGCTCGCTGCTCAAGCACATACTCGCCGAGCAGCTCTTTAATTTGCAGAAACCGACCCTGCTGTGGTCCACTGAAGCCTTTGCGTGAAGCTTTGCTGTCGACAATCTTCTGCTTTTGTTTACGCCGGTCCCGCACGCACGTTTCGAGAACTGCGAACGACCGCGATGCGGCCCGATTTTCATCCGTTTCTGCACACGCGATGACTTTTCTTTTAAAAGCGGCATCGTGGTGCACTCGAGTTTTTGGAGTCGGCCCTTCCACGCCGTCGATGCTAATGCACTACTAGATGACAAAATCCTCAGCACACGTATGAAGTGCCGCACATGGGAAACACATACCTAGGCAGAAATGGCCGACGCGCCATGCCGACGCACGTAGGAGGCGGCCATTTTGGATTTGCCGAAGGCAATAGATTGACCGTAATTTTTTTGTTCGTACGTACTCGATTCTAATGCGCATGCGATTTATGAACTCGCTTAACCGGGAAAAAGGTGCGCGTTAGATTTGAGTAATTACAATAACATCTTTCAGGTTGACGGGACTGATTGAAACAATTAATATAATGCTTCTGGATTTTTTTGATAATACACAAATTTTTAAAACTTCTGCTTTAGATTAATGTACCGAGACTATGTTTTGCAAGGCACAGGAGGTCTTAGTCCAGCATCTATACAGAATACATTCCTACTCTTTCACATGCTGTTAAAATGCTCTAGTTCACACATTTCACGAAGCTAGCACATTTTTCATCGAACGGTGCTAATTGAGCACTAATGCTCATTCTGGGATTTTGACACCCACGTAGATCATTTATTCAGAATACGTCTGATCATTTATTCAGAGACGTCTGATCATTTGTTCAGAATGGGTATGTCAGGCAAACTTTGCTTCTGTGTTTGCCAAGTTGCAGATTCGATGGGGCATTTTTCAGTCATGATATGTTTTCCAAAGCTACACAGAATATGAAAAGCTGTACAATAGAGTACAGAGAGTGCAAACTCACTTGTTAATCAGATCAAAGCCCAGGTTCGAGAGCGTGTGGCCGAACCGACTCCTCAAGTTGTTATACGGGTGCTCCGTGAAAGTCACCTTCTTCACTAGCGGAAGCTCAGTGTAGCCCGGCCAAATTTTTTCACTAGGTGTGCCAAGATCCTGCATAAACGTGAAACAAAGAAGACACAGTTTCACCTCAAATGCAGAACAACTGACGCAATAGCAATAAGGTGGAATGCTCTATGAAGTCAGGCGAGCAGCTTTAGGAGCAACATGAATTCTAGTGAACATGAACTTTTGCATCTTGAAATGACTTAAATCCCTGCCAAGATAGCATGAGGGAAATTGCACCTGACCACTCAATGTACGCAGTTCTGCCAGAGCCCCACAAATCCCACTTTGAAAAACCCCATAGGTACTCATACGACTAAAGTCTCAACCGAATTTCAGGAATTTTGAAGAAATTGAAACGAAACAACAGACTTATATTACTGCATGTAACCAGCATCGAAAGGTGGTTTCACTGCTACATGCAGCCACCGTGCCATGAAACCATTTATTCAGAGAAAATTCACGACTCCGCAAAGCCACATGTCGTGATTAAGCGAGCGTATTACCTGCGCCCTGACTGTCTTTTTAGGTTTAATGATGTGTTATACAACCTTACATGGCTTAAAGACGAATATCCTCAAAGGTATGCAATTTCCCACTTAAAGCTAGCGCTCTGTTACTATTTCAATCCCGCTACTGGTAATCTGCCCGCACAAAAAGTTTGCACAGAAAACAGAATAATTTTTGATCAAGATGCGAGAGGTGCCAGCACTTTTTAGTGCACTGCGTACCTTGAAGATTCTATTCAACTGGTCAATGTCCGACTTTCCAGGAAAGAGAGGCTTCATTGTGAGCAGCTCTCCAAATATGCAACCCACGGACCACATGTCGATGGGCGTAGAATATTCCTGCAACATAAGAGCAATTGTATCTTTTCGCAATCAGTCCTGATGCCACACATGAAGCAGAACACGATTAACATACTCTGATATCAGCAAGTAAAAAAAAAGTTGAACAATGTGTAAGGAACAATATGGTAATAAAAAAGGTGGTCCCACAAAACTCCAAGCTAATTAAGACAATACAGATGAAGCCTTTGGGTACCAGGTGTTCTTGGAAAGTGCAATTTGTCCCACATCAGCAACACAATTTCTTGGCGATGTGTTATTAATACTTAACAAATATCTAAACAAGAAAAAAACTAAACAAATGCACTCAAACCGTGTTATAACGAAACCAGATACTATAACGAAAAAACGGATATGACGATGTAAATAAAAATAGTCTTGCAATAGATAATAGTATTACCGTAAAATTCTGAGATAGCAGCCCCACAGGAACAAGCCCCCCCCCCCCCTCCTAGTTTTGGGAATTTGAATTTGCCGCCTACTTCCGAGCAAGTGCTCCCTATGAAAACTGGCGCCCTTGCTCTGTTTCTAGCCATTGCTGGATCTAGCCATAGCCGTTAAACTTGGCGTGTATTCGGTGTGTTAACGAAGCCAGTTGGATTTTGTTCCTCGTTCCTCGTGGTAGACTTTGCTGCACGATGACGTCAATGCGTTCTTATACTGTTGCAAAGAAAATTGACGTGGTTCAATGGCATGGCCAAGGTGGAAGCAATGCGCATGCGACCTCGCGGCACTTCAACATCGATCGCAGAAGTATTTGCGAGTGGGACAGCAAATATGTAGCCTTGCTTCAACAAAACTCCGGCAAGTCGAAGTCACGACGCAAGCTGAGCAACGGTGCTCCCGTATTAAGCGAAGAAGTCGATGATGCCCTCTTCGAGTTTTTGAAAGGGAGCGTAGTGCCGGGCGCGCTGTTAGCAACAAGTTGCTTGCAGAAGAGGCAGTGTGCGTAGCCAGGTGCCTGCAGCTCGAAAATTTCGTAGCCTCGGACCATTATATTGCCAGGTGGAAGAAACATTTTGGCATCTCCACGTGACAGGCGACGAATGAAAGCCAGAAGACCCCGAATGACTACACAGAAGCAGCGCAGTGCCTTTCGGTTGTCTGTGAACGAGCTGCGATTGATGCACGACTACGTGCCTTTTAATATAGCCAACATGGACCAGACAATGGTCCACATGGACTGCCCGGCATCTCGAACAAACAACATCATCAGGGGAAGTTCTGTCCGGATCGCCAATACTGGATGTGCAAGGCGAGGATTCACAGTCGAGCTCGCTGCCTGCGCATCAAGCCATAAACTTCCGGCCTTCGTTATTTTGAAGGGGCCGAGCGGCAGGATTCCAACGAAAGCTTTCACGAAAATCCGTGTACCAGGTGGGTTTCTATTTCTTTTTTTTTCCTTGTTAGTGGGGGGTAGTGAGATCACGCTATATTATTATTGTTTTTTCTTATAGTGAACGTTCATGTGACAGCATCGAAGAACGGGTGGATGACATCCGAAAAATTCCAGGAGTGGCTGTCGTGAGTGTGGGGTCTAAACACCACTGACGTTAGGCAGTTGTTGATATTAGACCTAGCTCCTATTCACAAGACGCAGGCAGCAAAGAATGCCGTGGAGGAGCGAGATACAGACATTGCATACGTGCCGGCTGGATGCACAAGTCTAGTGCAGCCAGCCGACGTGTACTGGAACCAGCTTTTCAAAGTCAGCCTTCGAAGGAGCTGGGAGGAATTCATGCGCTTAACAGAAAAACTCTGAAAGGAAATCTGCGGAAACTGTCGAGTTAGGACGTACTAGATTTTGTGGCCGCAGCATGGGACCCTGTACTAGAGGCGACCATTATTCAGAGTTTCAAGGGCTGCGGAATATTGAATGCAATAAACGGATCGGAGGAGGGCCTTCTAAACGGCCGGTTGTCCGGGGTTGGCGACATTCATCCAGAACATCCCGAGGAACTGCAGGCTGAATGCTACAGCCTGTTGTTTGACACCGACAGTGACGGATCCTTTGATGGATTTGAAAGTGAATAAACAATCATCAAAAATTTCCCAATAAAGCTTTTGTTCACTCTGTACATCGCTGTAAGAAGCCTTTATCATTGTTTAGAAAAGAAAACAACCGGCAGTCATCTTGAATTTTGCAGCACTTCCGCGCAAGTGCCTCCTCTCCTTCACCCCGATCATTATCTCTACCTCCAGCGGGGGGAGGGGGGGCTTACTCGGAATTTTACGGTAACAAACTTATTTTTATGTAAGATGCAGCTTTATTATACAGTAGACTCCCAATAAACAAAACTCTATTAAACGGAAAAGTGATATAAACGAAACTATCTAGACACATTTGGTTGGTTGCCTATATATTTATTGATAAAAGTTTCGGGTAACCGAAGCAATTTTTTTCGCTTAGATCGGTTAAATGAAACTAAAACGAGCAAAAATCCGTGAACAGCGGAAGTGGCCACAGGTCTCTTGCAACCATGAAACATATATTGAAGCTAGCCTAGCCAAGCCAATCCAGCGATCGAATATGTCCGCACACGTCGAGCAACAATTGACGTCTCGTCGTGAACTTGAGATGGAAAAAAAAAAACTGCACCACAATGCACCTTCGCTCGCAAGAAAAGTATAAATCATTCAAGAACTTGACCGCAATGACCTTTCGAAGAGGAATATTGCAAAAAAAGTTCATTATTCCCAAGTCCACGCTGTTGAGGATGCCCAAGACCCAGGTCTACATTGCCGGTAGCCGGTAGAGTATATTGACCGACCGGGTGCCGGCAGTTCTTTCCTATAAGAGGGTTTCAATTGACGTTCTCTGGGGCGTGTGCCGAGGCTGGTCTGGTGCTGCCGAACGTCGAGAAGCTGCCCATGCTAAAGGAATACCGCGACCTAGGCGTGATATTGTTCGCCTCAGAGATGCTCGTCTCACCACATGAAGCACACTTGAAACAAGCGGCACTGCGAGCTAGCCGCATACTGCCTAGACAATGCCTGTAGGGCGCGTTAGGTTAGGATATGTTACGTTAGGATAGGTTAAGTTTGGGAAGCTTAGGTCCTTGACAATAATGATCAGTTTTGCAAAATGTCGGAGAGCAAAAATATCCAAATGACGGCTTAAAGCTAAAGATACGGCAAGCCGGCAAGACGGGCTCACCAGAAATGTGCTGGCAGATAAGTGACATAATTGGGGTGAGCCCATAAGAGAAAACTGCTGGCAACTTGTTTTCCGGCATAATATGCGGTTTCCGGCACTACAGGTACGGCCTACTCAAGAACAAAAAGAAGATTGAAGAAACTTTAAAGCTTGGGAACTTCGCTACGGACAGAATACAGATGAGAACCGCGATGTACAAAGAAATCGAAGATGTTCTTTTCCTCTGGTTTAGGCGAGCGCGCAGTGCGAACTTCCCTGTCAGTGGCCCCATTTTGGAAGAGAAGGCCAAAGAGATTGCTACTGGGATGGGGATCGAGGACTTTCGGATGAGCGGTGGCTGGCTGAGCTATTTTAAAAAGCGGCATGGTCTTGTCTTCAAGACAGTTTCTGAAGAAAGTGCGGCTTTAAATCGAGATACAGTATTTGTAGTCACTGGCAACAGGAAAGGTTGCAAGAAATTTTGGAAGCCTACGATTAACGGGACGTGTTTAATGGTGATGAAATGGGGTTGTTTTACAAAGCACTCCCTACTAAGACTTGCTTACAAAGGCGAAACCTGTGCAGGAGGAAAGCGAAGCAAAATTGTATTACGGTGCTATTAGGTGCCAACATGAACGGTAGCGAAAAGTTAAGATCGTAGTCATGGGAAATCAAAGCACCCACGCTGCTTCAAAGGTGTGCGCACGCTGCCTGTCTTGTACCACGCGAACGGAAAGCTTGGATGACACAAGCAATCTTCGAGACATGGTTGCGCGAAAAGGATAGAAGATTTACCCAGCAGAACAAGAAGGTATTTTTATTGTAGATCAATGTCTTGCTCACGGTCAAGTCGATAGACTCAAATAAATCAGCCAAGAGTTCCTGCCCCCAAATGCGACTGCAATCATTCAACCGATGGACCAGGGCATAATTAAAAACTTGAAGGTTCTCTACCGCCGCCAAGTCCTCCCGCAAATGCTTCTTTGTTCAAAAAACAAAAAAGATTACAATGTGGACTTGCTCTCAGCTCTTCACATTCTAACCAATGCCTGAAAATGTGTGAAAGTGTCAACTGTGCAAAGGTACTTCCACCATGCAGGATACTTAAGACAAGAAGTCCTTCCAGATGACGAAGACAACATTGCCGAGGCTGAGGAGGCTGATATTCTCTTTAGTAAGGTGACACAATTCACTTCTTTCACGCGAGTGGACTATGAAACACTAGAGGAAAACGTTGCCACATGCCGTGAAGACAGTCTTGAGGAACTTATTTCTGAAGTTCGAGATGCGGACCCGTGCTCAAGCGGTGATGAGATGGTGTGTGATCCTGAGCCCATTGCAGTGGCGGACAGTGCAGCAAGAGATGCTGTCATCTTGCTGCAGCGCTATTTGAATACAATGGTGGCACAGATTTCCTGCCCAGCCTTTCAGCCATGCACTCTTACTTTGTGAAAAAAAAAAAAATGCTTGAACACAGCCAAGCAATCTGTTATCACCTCCTTTTTCCCCGAGTCAGTAATATTAGCAAATTTTTTTTCTAATCAACTATAGTAGTATTGTATACTTCAAAAAGTTTTTTTTTTCATGTCAGCCACAGTCGGTGCTTTTAAAACAAAGTCGTATTTCATTCATTTTGTGGGCTTTGCTTAAATGAAACTTAAATAGAACAAATTTTTTTGCCCCTCCGAGTTCTGTGAGGAGTCCACTGTGATGAGGTTTGAGTGTATGCGGTAAATTTAGCTGGTCATTTTCGAAACACTCTAGCATGTTACATTCGTAGGCCACTATTAAGGGGGCAGACTGGTCTTAGACATTTTTTGTTTATTTCTTCAGTGATCTTGATAAATCTGCACAGGGTTATACAGTTTTTACTGCTGATTTCAAATATGTAATTAGTTTTCGTGTAACTCACTTTGTTGCTGAGATAACTTAAGTTCACTTCCTATTGTTTAAGGCCACCATAGAAAAAAAGTGCTTAATTAAAAGTGATATTTAGGATATGCCAACATAGACTAACGACTACAGAGTGAAAGTATGGAAGAGGTTTTTGTTTTTAGACCTTTATTGGTTATTTTGCAGCAAAATGAACTATACATTTTCAAAAGCAGTTGGAATTGTGTTACAATTTTGATTAGTAATTAATTAAAAAGGCATGTGCTCTAAATTTTGCTCCCATACTTGCATTCTACACACATACAGGTTTCCACTGCAAATAGAAATATTGTTGTACCTGCCCTAGCTGCAGAGATATTAAGGCCTCAAAATTGAATAGTCACAAATTTACTTTTTTGAGAAAAATGGAAAAAACTGAAAACACATAGTTTCTTCAAAAAGCAACGATCATGGTGCGCATGTTTAGCAATCCTCACGAAGGCGCTCATAAATTGGTAGTAGAGCTTTAGACAAAGGGGCTGGCAAATTATAAAAAAGCCTCAAAGTCGGTTCCCCATTTTTTTTGCAGGTTCTGCATGTTAACAGCACCAAGAATCTGGACAGTTAAAATGACATTACAAAAAAATTACTACTTCTTGGTGCGTGAAAATTTGCAGAGATAGAAAAATACTTGCAGAAACCAAATATGTCAATTTTAAAAAATGAATATTTTTGTCACTTTTTGGTCCCAAAGAGCAGTCTGCCCCCTTAACCCAGCAAAGCACTGCACAACATTTAATCATAAAGAATCAGTAACCAACCTTGACTCCAAGAAGCAGCTCTGGTGCACGGTACCACATGGTGACCACAATAGGAGTGTAATGCTTGAGGGGTGAGCCGTATTCTCGAGCAAGACCAAAGTCACCGACCTGTGCGAGAAAAAAAAAAAAAAAAGCAGTTTATGCAACCCACGTATACTTCTCACCTACAGATCAATATTAAACTTGATAAAACACTGGCAGAAGGACACCCCCCCATCACAGAGAGTTGTGATGAAAGTTACTTCAGGCGAATGCTTAGATCAGAAGTCTCAAACACACGGCTCGCCTTGGATATGACTGTCATTGCTACAAATATTTCTTTGACTGTCTTCGTAAATATGTTCATGAGCGGTCATCACACAACGGACAGCCGTCCGTGCCAGTTTCCAAGAACTTGGCGAGCAAGCCCGACCAACAAACTTCTCTTGAAATGTTTCCCGCTCGAGTGGTGATCACGTTGTGGCACAAGACCTACTCCTATGAAATACCAGATTTCCACTTCCCTCTAGTTTCAGCAGAACCAGAATAGGAGAATTCCGGGCATCAGTATGCTTCTTGAATCTCGAGACGAAATTCCCTTCAGAAATGACCCATATATGACATTATGAGAAAGGCCTTCTTCGAACATTCCTTCCTTCCTTCCCCCCCCCCCCCCCACCATCGCACTAATGCTCTGTGCTGACACAACACAAAAATTGTGGGACAATCTTTTGGTACTTCAGCCTAATTGCTTAGTTCTGCTCAAGACCCCTGGCCTAGAGTACACATGTTGGCTGACCTTTAGAATGCCCTTGTGGCTGAGCAGCAGGTTGGACGTCTTGAGATCCCGATGGAGGATCCAGTTGTCATGAAGGTGGGCCACTGCTTTGAGCAGCTGCAGCATCAGCGTCTTCACCTCACCCACTAGGAAGGGCTGCTTCATCACCTCCATCAGGCTCTTGAGGTCGTGCTCAACATAAGTCCATCACGATGTAGATTTTGTCCATGTTGCTTCCCACCACTATCTCCTGTGGGGAGCACAGAAAAATCCCAAATGACGACAGCCTCGCATTATAATGGTCTGCCTAAGATATTTTAGCACAGCCACCCTTGAAGCTGGCATCTACTGGAGCAAAAAACTTTACAAGGGCAAACGAATAGCAGAAGAAAGTGCCACTCACCCGAACAGTGACGATATTTGGGTGCTGTGCCTTGAGAAGGGTGTTGATCTCTCTGAGAGACGTAATTGGAAAGCCCTCTTTTTCTTTTTCCATCTTCAATCGTTTCAGAGCCACAATCTCATCTGGAGCGCAAACAACAGTCGACGGTATAGTTAGGTAACAAGTGAAACTGTAGAATTGTCCAGTTTATTGCCTATGCACAAAAAAAAAGTATCTTCACATTCACACTCAAGCCTGCTAAACTGTCTTTATATGATACCTCCAGCTATATGTGAAGCAATCGCTGAGCTACTTACATATTAGCACACTGGCTCAGTTGCTGCGACATTTTTCACACGAACATAGAACAAGAACTCCAGGCACACAAGATGAAAAACAAATGGCGCATTTAAGTCATAGGCTTCTGCAACACAATTCTAGCCCAGTCAATAACCCTTCTTTTCTACAACAACAATAACCCTTCTTCTCTACAGCAAGCACTTTTGCTAATTGCTGGAGTGAAATTATTTGAAAAAAAAAAAAAAAAGACAGCTTCTCCTTTTGAGTTCCATGCAAGCATTGTGGTGTGCTCTGCAGTCAAATGCCTCAGTACAATGAAACGCACACACTAAGTGTTCCTTACATTCTGGCAATGTTGAAAGTGCGACTGTGTGAAGCCTTCACGGCAAAGTGCTTCTGCAACATATCTTCAACTTACGGAGCACTTTACTATACTGGCATTTCAGTGTACACATTAGTAGTGCTTATGTATATCTCACTGTATTATGTAAATTTATTTTCTGATGGATCCGGCAGTGAAGTTACTTCAGCAGTTTGAAGCAGCCTATTGCTTGTGTCTTTCTTCCTCATCACAAACAAACAACAAACTTCGAAGCTTTGGTTGAGCAATGCTTTTCAGTCTCACCTGTCTTTTTGTCCCTTGCACGGTATACAACACCGTATGTGCCTTCCTCAATGCGGTTTAGGCAATGAAATTCCTCAACGCTACGACAGCCCTGAATGGCAGGCAAGTATGGAGGCAGTTGGGTGGCATCACCGTCTTCACTCAGTGGGGAAGCTTCATTGGCTGTGTTGGCTTCTACTGTTTCTGCTTTCTGTACAACTTCCTTCATTTCTGCGAACACGAAGGCAAGTGAATTCACATTACTCACACACAACAATCAAACAGATCCTGCTCAGTGCTAGAAAAATAAGAATTGAAAAGAAAGCAAGTGGCATTAATTATAACTGAATATATTCCTTTTCCGAACCAGTACATTTTCAAATTGAGACATTTATTTCTCAAGGCACACCTTGGAAGTCATACATCTAATACATCTTCAAATAAATGAATAACACGCGCGCCACAACTCAGCAAATATTTCGCACTAAGGAATGATTGGGGTCCGGATGCAGCTGCAAACCTTGGCTATTTGCATCAAGAACAGAAGCGCAATACACACGGCACCAGCCACGAGACTTTTACATTACACATACGATCGGGACCACAAATGCCGCCGCAGTAAAATGACAAAGTGTGGTCGAATACAGGCAGCCTCGGCTGGAGCAGTAAACATTGCAGCTGTGTGACTAGCAAAGAAACCTTTGATAAGCGCAATTCCTCCGCACTGAGGTTTGTCTTTGCCCACCTGCACGTTCACCTTAACTTTTACACGATTAAGACAATGTGAAACTTTTGATGCAAGTTCATGCAAGGACCGCTTTATTTTCTTATGAAAAACAGTTTAAAGGTACACTGAAGCGAGGTTAACAATAAATCAGTTCAGGTTTTCATCGAAAACTCTACTGTTGTGAATTTCGCCATCATACATGCCTTATCAAAAAAGACAATGCTGGTTAAACCTTCATTTCTCAATGTTGTGCGGAAACTTTATAACCTGAATGCCAAAGCGGTGCCACTGTGTTCAGAGTATCTTTCATGGCTTTGACCACATTGGCTCAACGAAGTCTCTCGAAACTTAGCATGTTAATAAAACCTCATTGAGGCCTACATAGTACATATTCCCCAAGTTAAATGTACCAGCACAACCACACAAGACATCCCACATAAGAAGATATCATACACGCAGTGCTTGTGTGTGTATCTTATCTACGTGGGGTGTCTTGCGTGTTTGTGCTGTCACTTTTACGTCAACAGCTATGTTAAGTATCCAGCTCCCAGAGCGATGGAACGAAATAGCAGCAACAGAAAAAAATGTAGGCTCTAAGAGGCGCAGTCAAAACCAATTACGAAACAGCGAGCTGGTGTGAATACCTCAATGCAGTGGTGTTACCTGCATTTTCTGTTTGTGCACTTCCTCTCCCACAGTCCACCTGCTTGTGGCAAGAGTGCTGCTTCTAGTATTTCAAAAGAGTAACTTATCGAACAAAAAAGACAAACAAACTATTCTTTTACTTTAGTGTTCCGTTAGGACACCTAGTAGCGATAACCGACCACATATTTACCTTACATCAACTGCCACTCTGCCATGTTGCTGTTTCGTATTATATTTTAATCATTAAGAATTTCAATCGTCCTTGACAGTACAAGGAGGACCGCCAGAAACCAGTAGAACAATTTCTGTACGAGTCATAGAATAAGCTGAGCATATGAAACATTCCGGATGAAGTGAGCTTGATAGTAGTAAATCTTTACAGCGCGAAAATTATGCTTGATAAGCGACATTTCAGGGATAAATAATTGAGCCAAACAGCAATGGGTAGATATGATCGAACAAGATTGGATAGATATGATCGAACAGGTAATTGGTAAATTTCATTGAACGACATGTCTACGGTTGAATGCAGACCGCCTTGTGATACAACAGGACAACTCTAAAACAAAGTACAGTGTTTTGCTCCTGGCCACTCTGTACCAAAGAGCGAGAGAAAGGCAGAGGGCCAACTTTCAGTGCAAATGAAATTTCCGAAGGTTATGCGAAATGGTCAAAGTAGCTGCGATGACGCCCGCACATCGCGCGCACTACCCTTTTGTGAATACGTCTTTTTCGTCCCGAGCACTCACTTTCAAACTTATTCAGAAAGTTTTTGCACTTCTTCAGAAGGTTTCCTAGGAGATCAGTATCAGTTCCTCTCTTACCCACATCAGTACCATCAACTTTTTCGTCCTCAGAATATTTTTCATCGTCCTCAGAGTCATCGTCGCTACTGCTGCTATCTGAAATGACAATGAGCGGATAACATTCATAAAATGATGTGGAAGTTAAAAAGAACATAGAAAGGTACAACACGAATGCTACAAATGGCGAGTCACAGCAGGGATACTGAGTAACTAGTGGTTGCTGCACCAGCTATAAGCATCTGCCACAGCGACACAAAGAGAAGCTTCAGCCACTTTTTTATAATCATTGCACCAGTAATTATAATTGACAACTGACAGTATAGAAGAGAAAAGGGCACTTCCATCACAGCCGGTTGATGAACGAAAATTCATATTTAATGAATCCGAGAAGCACTAAATACAAAGAACAGAACTGAGTGATCCTGAAGCAACAAGCGTTCCACAATGTCCGAAGTGCCATCTTTGCAGAGATTAGAATTTACATGAAAATGTGTGAATTTGGGCCCGATACCGCTGCTATTGAAAGGCCAAGTCAGCTCCTATTGTAAAAATAGGTAATGTACACAGCAGTCGAGCAGTGATAATTAAGCGAGCATTATAGTATTTCAGCATGAGTAACAAAACACCATCCAACTTACGATATATCTACTGCAAAGAACTTGTAGATGTTATCTTTTCAATTTCACATGCTCTCTTCAGCTGGCTGAGAGTGCTATCATACGTTTGCAACTCGGACGACTGTTATCTTGCACAAGGCACTGAATTCTAGCACAGTGAACTTTTGCAATAATAAATTAATATTGCAATATATTACAGACTTTCCTCTATCGAAGTTTAAATGGGTAATCCAAATTCTGATGGTGCACAGCTTCACCACAGAGCACTATGCTAGACGGCTGGTGACAGCAATTTTAAATTTAAACAGTGATTATCACTTGCAAACGTTAGGAGAACGCAGAAATCTCTGCAGCTACTGAAAATTTGCACCTGGCCATTTGTTCAATTGCTTCTTAAATTACTGAGAAGGCCTCATCTGCCTATGGGTGACTACATTTACATATTGAAAAAGCTTGTGAAAAAAGCACCTCAACGAGCAATAAAAGCCCTGGGATGTATTCTGCTTCTGCTGGGAACGCCTCAAGGAATACCGTACATTGCATTTACATGTTCAGGCAAATGGGCTTTGGCCCATTTGCCTGAACAGTGTTAATAGCATAGCCTTCAATCTAATTCAAAGCTATTTAACAGGCAACAAAGTGTATATACAAGCAGTGCAATATCTTCCGTGCGAATTATTAAATATGGTGTACCCCGAAAGCAGCATACTGGGACCGCCTTTGTTTACCATATTTTTAAACTTTATTTTTTATTATACTTATAAACAGCATTGTACATGTTGACCGTTCAGCCCATATACATAATCTATGCAGATGTCACAAGCCTATTCTTTTCAGGTACAAAAATAAATAATCCAATAAATGCATCTAAATCAACACCACAAAAAATATCGTACACACACACGTGCACACCCACACACGTACAAGTGAGGCCTTGTCGTGTAGAAACAATTTTGCGTTTGCCTATGGCCCAGTCACTAGTGGTTACCAGTTCTGGCACAATCGGCATTCCATTTTAAGATTGACCCACGAGCTGTCATATTGCAGACAGCGCATGCTTTTATGCAAAAGGACAGAGTAAGCATGTCAGTGCAGTTTATGGGTGAACTGAAAGAAGAGCGAAGTTTAAATAAGTAGATAAGTGAGATGACTATGCAGCGATTCCTAGTAGAAGCAGGAAATGCTAAAACATAGGTGCGTGCCATTGCACGACTGTGCACAAAACTGGCAAGGATGATCTAACCATTCAGTACCGTTTAGGTTGTCACTAGTACTGCAATAAATACTTATCCTTTGTATGATAGAAAGAAAAAACTCCAGAATAGCTTCCGTTACGCTAGTACTTACAGCGCGGTACGTGTGAGCTCCAATTTTCGCTTCTAAGATTGAATTCTGACCTACGCCATTCATCGACATCTTCAACTACCAAGCTGCTCGTGGTTATTTCAGCAACAGTCCCTAAAGACCGTGATACTGCAAACTCCACCTTGCTTGTAGAATCCATGGATTTATGCTGCTGTGACTATGCCTTTCTACTATTCCAATTATGGCACTGCTCCGTGCGAATGTCGCAAGGAGGTACAACAGAAATCGGGCGCTGTGCCCGTGACACTATTGTTGAGCTATTCCATTGCCCACGCTTTTAACTGTTGAAAAGAGGGCTACTCAATCCCAAAAGATCTACAAACACTGACAAATTTATACTGCTTTGGTGCAGTACCAAACAATATTGATCGCAACTTTCTACAACATGACAAAAATTGTTAATCAGTGTTTCATCGAGTCCTTCGGTACCACGACAATTCAAGCTATTGATTATTAAACAATTCCTAAAGTTCTTGCTGCCCCACTGTGTTCTAAATGCATTTCGCAGTTCGTTGAAGTGCTAGCAGTTGCTTCGGCTTAGATTCAATTTTACCATCTCAGACAATTTGGTTCCCCTCAAAAATACGACAAAGCCAGAAATAGTTGGTAATAAATACAGTGCTACAGAAATAGCCAGAAATAGATACAGTGCTACAAATATGTGTTTACAAGGAGTTTTCGGATATAACAAAGTATTTCATGGTCATTATGACTTTGTTAAAATGAGGTTTAAGCATACACCTATTTTCATCTAGGCTTGTGCAGTAGGTGGCGTTACATTTCTTCCTGCTCACACGTACCAGAATATCTCATAAGTCTGTCATTCAGTCGACTAATTTTATGCAACTGAAATTCTGTTATTTAAACAATAATACAAAAAGATGGAATTTCATACTTTGCAGGCAAAGCTGTTAAGTTAGACTGGGCCTTTGCCCTGCCAGCTCTCGTGGTAAAAAAAAATAGTGTACCGTATATATAAAGATGAAAAAATTATTTTAAAGCCATATTTGCATAACTACACTATTCTTGAAAAATTGTTTTTTTCACTGGCCAGCACATAGCATAGCACAATACCAGCATATAAATTGAAAAAACTATGCAATTCGCCAAAATTTACGGAAAGCTTTGTATTGATCAAATCGGCATTAATTATGCTGTCGTGAAGAAGCAGGACCTAGCATAATCTGCCCTTCACCATCCAAGCGTTAAATATGGTGCCCACCTCATCAGTCTCAAACAGACCATAAGAAAGTACTATGAAAACTCAAAATTATGCAAGCCCGCCGTACGCTACTAAATGTTCAACACGAAAACAAGGACACCACTTAACATAAAACGAGAAGTGGGCACCAAATGCCTGCGTTTGTGTAATTGTTGGTGGCGAGACACTGAACGTGCCACTAAGCATGATAGCGGTACCTCGAAGCCGTGAATGCTGGTTCTTTGACTCCCTTTTAACAAGCTCTTTCAGTATGGCCCTCAAGCGAGAGTGGTGATTTTTATCACATGACGGTTTTCTCGCATTGGAGTCTGAAACATATAACACACCAACAATGTTTTAAAAAAAGGAAAGCTGTTTAAAGTTTCGTTACAATGTATACAGTTACGATTGGGACCTGCCAGAATGCTGGAAAACAAAGTTGAAATGCAACGAAGGAGTTGACAAAATATATAATATTGGTGCAAAACGGCACGCACCAAACAGCACAGTATTGGTTGAAAAAGACTTCTTGTTTGGCGAGTTGGTTAACGTTAATTGGGTAAACTAGCAGAGCAAACTTGCAAAACACAGATCAGAGAAAAGAAGTAGGAGAGAGCAGAAAGGTCAGGCACTAAACTTCAAATGTTTATTCGAAACAACAAGCCACCAGATTACTATTCTCTGCGCATGCGTGCATCAAAATCGGTAAACATTGGTCACACTCGCATGTCAAGAAGCTGCAGCTCATTTTGGTAAAGTGAAACAGACGTATCACTAATCTAACCCGTGTCTCTCTTCTTGATGCGAAACGCCTCCAATAACTTTCGTGCTAATGTGTCGTTCCTTCTGCCTATTATCATGGTCTCACGAAGCCGAGGCTCAGATCTGCAGGCTATAGAGTGCGCAGGTAAGTGCGCATTTCCTTTATTTCTTAAAGATAATTCATGCTCCTGAGCTCAATCCTTGACACAGCGCAAGTTAACCCACATACGTCATCCCACACGACAGCGGTATTTCATGTAAAATGCCCGTCGCGCATTTCACATAAGATCTGGTGTTCTTCTGGTACCTGGGCTTTTTGTCAGCGCTACTGACTCGATGACACAGTCCAGCCAACTTGCGTGGTGCCGAAAAGACTACGTGTACACAGTACCTATTAGCAACTCTCTTTAGGGAGTGGGAAAGTTGGTGGATGTAAGCTACCACCACGGACTTGCCTCCTTTTTGAACGGGACTGGATGTCCTTTTTTCACCTTCTGAAAAATGGTTTTTGAGTTAGCCACTACAAGCCGGCTGAATAGAGCCTTGCCAAGAGGTTATAGCGGGGACACGACTTCATGAGCGCAGAGTCAAGACAGTTGGTAGCAATTGTTCTCTCAACTATTTTCGAGTGAGCAGAATCATACGGGAGCACGTCTTTCCGGGCGCGCGGACTACACTGCAAACAAACGTGGTTTTGGTCAAATGTTGAAGACAAGTCTAAGAACTGAAGAATGCTCTAGGAAGGGGATTCATGTGTAAAGAGTGTGCCCTTCCCATGCAGACGAAAGGTGGCTAAAACGTCGTTAATGCACTCATCAAATGTGAAAAGCAGGGTCAGTTTTTGAAAGGATTAAAAACCATCATCATATCCAGAAGCCCTAAGGAAAAACCTATTGTCAAACGAGCAGAGCAAGTCTCGACCTACAGACACCAAGAAGATGCTCCACAACACTGGGGCGACACAACAGCCCATACCTATTTCGTGGCGCTGGACTTAGAGTCGTTATTAAAAGAAATAAAGGTGGACTTCAAATATAGCTATAATAAGACCGTAAAATTGTCAACAAACACGCCCACTAAATTCTGAAAAGCTATCATACCGCTATGGTCAATACAATGCCTAACGAAGGCAAACATTTCTTGTTGAGGCACAAGGTCAAATAAATTGGTTATGTCTACAGATAAGCTGGGAGCGTCAGAGCTCTAGACATAAGCGGTAGACATAACCAATTTATAATCTCTATATTCACAGGTGTAGCAACTAGAGTTGCTACACCGGCGATTGGCTTGAAAGAGTGTTTGTTCGAGGCAGTGAGACAAGATGAGAATGGCAGTGATGGTGGGTTCAATTAGTGCAAATTTGACCCAGCAATTATGACGAAAACTATGATAAGTTGAAGGCCGAGGATGCCGATTTTCTTGTACTTAGGCAGTTGTGGTGCGGCAAAAGTTTTTAAAGCTTTATTTTTAGCCTAGCCTTTAGCCACCAGGCCTTCATTTTCAACAGCCCCAAAGTTTTTATGAGTAATTGAAGACTTCAAAAATCTGGCCTTCAGCTTGGCATATCCCCTTCAGACGCAAAATCATGATCCACTGCGTGCCAATGTGTCAAATTCGCATGGCATGATTCCGAGGCACTCAGTATTACATTTCAAGAGATAAAATTAAAAAATTGTTTGTACTGAGCAAGTTTCAGTAATTACTGTTAATTAGCATGTAATTCGGTATTTACTTATTATCCATTCGGTCAGCATCAATTTTCGCATAAATATAAAGAAAGATTAGGTCTAAGTGCAAGCACTTTATTTTTTGGTTGCATTCATTTTCAACAAAAAAAAATGCTCTTGACGTGGGTCCGGGAGCAACTTCAACTGGTCATTGAACATGGTAGTGTCGCCAGCAAAGTGGTCCTCTGAAGCTTCATGCAGCATAAAGAAGCTAAATGATTAGTGTCTGTCAACCCAAGAAGCCTGTACGAATGTGCACACTGCGTTTCAAGACATGTGAATAAACACACAGTATGTGACGTGCCTTTAAATTTAATGTGTACGATTGTACACGATGCCACTGAAGCGGATAAACGTAATTGTTGAGATGCAGTAAAATGGCTGCAAGTAGCTGCTCACAGCCTGTTCAAAAACAACATAAGAAAGAAAGGAGAGTACAGTGCTTTGTTATCTAGCTTCACTTATTTGAAAAAAACATTGTTGAGAATGTATCAGTGCATGCCAATAAAATGAAAAAAAAAAAACAACACTGTTTGGTCATGGGTAAGGTGTTCCAGTTGAAGATGATGGTCGAAAAAGCAAACACAGGGAGCTAGAACCTGAAACAGCGAAGCAGGCAACTGTGAGAGCAAGAAGCGAGAAAATTTTGTGCTCGGACTGGCTACCTCACTTTTCGAGAAAGGATTAACTGCCTCAAAGCAGCAAGATAAAATTGTTGCGTAGGATCTCCCTGCACCAACACAAATAAAGCAGGAGTTACTCAAGATTAAGCAGAAGCACACACATGAGCAAAGACTTCCCTCCCAGAAAACGCAGGCAAAGCTCGCAGACTGTCGTAACAAATGCAGCATTCGTAACCCTACATAGGATTTCTTCATCAAACGTTAGCAAAATTCAAAACAAAGGTTACTAAATATTATTCCCGAATTTATGACTACCTTGACTGCCTCTAAATCTTGTTTCATGTTTAAATTGCTGAAAACAACACATAAAAAAAGCAAAGACAAAGAAAAACCCATAAGCAGAAAACGATGCAGTCGTGCGTCAGCAACATCTCAGGCAGAGGCACGCATGAAGCGAGGAAATGTGCGAGCAAACAGTATGACGCAGAGCAGAGAAAGCATACTACAGGCACAGACAGAGCTACCAAATCACATAACACAATTTCTATCATAATTTTAGCAAAGACAATAAGTGATGCGCATGTTGTATACTAGTTGCCCTGGAGTGAAGAAGCTAGATAGAAATGGCAATGTCCAAGGAGAGTCTATGCATCCTGATATTATAGTGCATCTGCTTCTCGAGGGCCAACACTGAAACTTGATTATCCAGACGACTAACACATCTAAATAGTTCTGAAAGAAAAACTAGTGCCCGCCAGTACTTCTTTTTTTCTTACAATGTTAAAGTTTAGATCATCAATTACAAGAAAGAGCAAAAAATAGTAGAGAATATAATGCAGCATAATTTAAAGGGCCCTTAAACTACTCTAAGTTCGAAGACGAGAGAGAGTGGTTTCTCTCCCGCCTTCACTATCCTTCCTACAGGCAATATCATGTCCTCGCCACTTATTTCTTCATAATGCAGGTGTACAATGTCAGAACTGATGTTGAGCCTATCAGAATTTCGCTCTTGTCGCTTGCATGCAATTATCTCCAAATGTGCGATTAGAAATGGACAAGACGGAGTGCAATCAATTGGTCGCCCACAATAGTCAAGCGATACAAGGAAGGAGATGATCCACAAATGATACTCTACTTATATGAACCAACTGACAGTTAGTAGTTTAATTACACCCCGTGAATCACCCTTCTGGTGTTGTGAAGTGTGGCAGAGAGTTGAGAAATGCCAAAAGAGCATGTGTCCAAATTTTGTATTTTCAGAGGCTGCTTTAGGGGCCCTTCTGAAAGTGACCTTGAAATGGTTTTTTGAAGTGTTGTCGGTGTTTAGGCCAGAGCATCATCAAATCTTTCACACCACAAATTACGCAAGCCTGCAATGTACCAAGGCCACTATGAACATACTATACCCTCTTTCTCACAAAATACCATGCCTCCACAACTTATAAGACACGCTGTAAATTGCAGCACTCTCATGAGTGTACTCAATGGTTTGAGCTTCACCCAGTCATGGCCTCCGAGACTGCATGCAATCTTGGAGGCCATGGCCAAGTGCCCTGCAGCACATCGTCTGGCAACAGAGACGAAGCTCGCGGAGTGGCTGATATCTGCTTCAACAGGTGCCGCTACACTACCAGCCGATCTTATCTTACTCTCTTGTATGGCAACCACCTGCAAAGGTATGCAAACACAATGAATTTGAGAACAATCACTGATAACCGCAAACTTGGTCAACGTGGTTGTGTCTTCAGGGGCGAAGTTAGTTACAGCTGCAGACGCGTGGATCGTGGTGTTGAGCGGGTAGCAAGACACAGATTGCCAGATCATTAAAAAATATTACACAATGTCGCAGCTTCTATTGTGATAGCAATTATATGGACAGTCTCGGCTGGTTCTTGTTTGTTGTCGTCGACGTCGCCGCAGCCGCTATTCACGTATATATATATACAATGTTATAATGTATATAATGGGCGACCATACAAATAAGGTCAGAACTTTGTAAGGGCCCAGACGATCGCCAGACATTCTTTCTCAGTGACGGTGTAATTAGTCTCGACTTTTGCAAGCGTACGGCTTGCATACGCCACGACATATTCCGGGAACCCTTGTTTGCTCTGCGCAAGGACAGCGCCGAGGCCGACACCACTGGCGTCCATGTGTACCTCTGTAGGGGCCGTAGGGTCGTAGTGGCGGAGTATGGGAGGCGACGTCAACAAATGG